TATATATATGCAAATACATGCAAAACTGCACTTAAAAACTGCGGCGCTTTCAGCGGTGAGTGAACTCTGACAAAACGTTTCTGATTGGCCATTGCGTTCAAGAAATCAACAGATATGTCTGTGATTGGTTAAATTGCTGAACGCTGCAAAAACACGTTGAGGGTATTTAGCTCCCGACATCAGTGATCCCATGACTAACAATTTGTTTAGTCTTGCCCCCCCCCCAATGTCGCCCATGAGCACGGGTATACAGTGCCTATAGAAAGTCTTCATACCCCTTCATTTTTTTCACATTTTGTTATGTTGCGTTATTATGTTAAACTTATGTTAAACTAAACTGTAAATTACTTTTTTTCCCACATAAATCTACACCCCACTCACCATAATGACAAAGCATCTTTACCGGATTTATCACAACTTTGCAAATTTATTAAAAAGGAAACACTGAAAAAATGACATTGCACAAGTCTTCATACCCTTAACTCAAAACTTAGTTGAAGCACTTTGGCAACAATTACAGCCTCAGGTCTTTTTGGGTATGATGCAACAAGTTTTGCACATCTGCATTTGGGTTTTTTTGCCATTCTTCTCTTTAGATCATCTCAAGCTCTGTCAGGTTGGCTGGGGACCATCGGTGGACAGCCATTTATAGGGTTCTCCAAAGATGTCTGATTGGTTCCAAGTCCCAGCTCTGGCTGGGCCACTCGAGGACGTTCATAGAGTCATCCCTAAGCCACTCCTGCATTGTCTTGGCTGTGTGCATAGGGTGATTGTCATGTTGGAAGATGAACTTTCAGCCCAGTCTGAGGTTCTGAGCGCTCTGAACCAGGTTTTCATTAAGGATATCTCTGTATTTAGCTGCATTCAGCTTTCTGTCTTCTCTGATCACTTCCCCAGTCCCTGCCGCTGAAAAACACCCCACTGCATGATGCTGGCGCCAGCATGCTTCACCGTTGGGAGGGTATTATGCAGGTGATAAGCGGTGCTTGGTTTCCCTCAGACATGAATAAGGAATTGAGGTTCATCAGACCAGAGAATCTTTTTTTTCATAGTCTGAGAGTTATTTAGGTGTATTTTTGTAAATTCCAATCAGGGTTTCATGTATCTTTACTGAGGAGAAGCTTGAGTTTGGTCACTTTGCCATCAAGCCCAGATTGGTGGAGTGTCGCAGTGATGTTTGTCCTTCTGTAAGTTTCTCCCATCTCCATATAAGATCATGGAGCTCAACCAGAGTGACCATCAGTGTCTTGATCACCTCTCTAACCAAGACTCTTCTCCTTCGATTGCTCAGTTTGGCTAGACAGGCTAGATCTAGGAAGAGTCCTGATTGTTTCAAACTTCATTCATTAAGGATTATGGAGGCCAAATGCTCCTGTGAAGCTGCAACACAGCAGAATTTTTTTGTAGTCTTCCCCAGATCTGTCTCAACACAATCCTGTCTCTCAGCTCTGCAGGCCATTCCTTTGACCTCATGGCTTAGTTTTTGCTCTGACATCCATTTCAGCTGTTAAACTTTGTATAGACAGATGTGTGTGCCTTTCCAAATCATGTCCAATCAACTGAATTTGCCACAGGTTAACTCTAGTCGGAGTATAGAAACATCTCAAAGACGATCCAGTGAAACTGGAATGCTCCTGATCTAAATTTCAAGTGTCAAAGCAAAGGGTATGAACACTTGTGCAATGTCATTTTTTCAGTGTTTCCCTTTTAATAAATTTGCAAAGTTGTGATAAATCCGGTAAAGATGCTTTGTCATTATGGTGAGTGGGGTGTAGATTTATGTGGGAAAAAAAGTAATTTACAGTTTAGTTTAACATAAGTTTAACATAATAACGCAACATAACAAAATGTGAAAAAAATGAAGGGGTATGAAGACTTTCTATAGGCACTGTATACAGAGAATCTTTTATTTAGGTGTATTTTTGTAAATTCCAATCAGGGTTTCATGTATCTTTACTGAGGAGAAGCTTGAGTTTGGTCACTTTGCCATCAAGCCCAGATTGGTGGTGTCGCAGTGATGTTTGTCCTTCTGTAAGTTTCTCCCATCTCCATATAAGATCATGGAGCTCAACCAGAGTGACCATCAGTGTCTTGATCACCTCTCTAACCAAGACCCTTATCCTTCGATTGCTCAGTTTGGCCAGGAGGCTAGATCTAGGAAGAGTCCTGATTGTTTCAAACTTCATCCATTAAAGATTATGGAGGCCAAATGCTCCTGTGAACCTTCAACACAGCAACATTTTTTGTAGTCCTCCCCAGATCTGTCTCAACACAATCCGGTCTCTCAGCTCTGCAGGCCATTCCTTTGACCTCATGGCTTAGTTTTTGCTCTGACATCCATTTCAGCTGTTAAACTTTATATAGACAGGTGTGTGTGCCTTTCCAAATCATGTCCAATCAACTGAATTTGCCACAGGTTAACTCCAGTCTAGAGTATAGAAACATCTCAAAGATGATCCAGTGAAACTGGAATGCTCCTGATCTAAATTTCAAGTGTCAAAGCAAAGGGTATGAACACTTGTGCAATGTCATTTTTTTCAGTGTTTCCTTTTTAATAAATTTGCAAAGCTGTGATGAATCTAGTTTTTGCTTTGTCATTATGGTGAGTGGGGTGTAGATTTATTTGGGAAAAAAAGTAATTTAAAGCAGTTTAACTATAATAATGCAACATAACAAAATGTGGAAAAAAATGAAGGGGTATGAAGACTTTCTATAGGCACATATAACAAAGAGTGAAAAATTGAAGGGGGTCTGAATACTTTCCGTACCCACTGTATATATGTGTGTGTGTTTGTGTGTGTGTGTGTAAGATGTTTTAAATGTTTTTGACAAAGGTCACTTATGCTTAAAGGTCCCATGATTTAAAGGCGATTTTCTCAATATTTAGATTTTTTTGCACCCTCAGATTCCAGATATTCAAATAGTTGTATCTCGGTCAATTATTGTCCTATCCTAACAAACCATACATCAATGGAAAGCTTATTTATTCAGCTTATTCAGATGATGTATGAATCTCAATTAAAAAAAATTGACCCTCATGACTGATTTTTGTGGTCCAGGGTCACATATGTGGACCCTAATGACTGGAAATGACCTGCTTGTTTAAACTTTGTTGGATGCAGTTTTTTTGTCTGTGTTCCAGTTTATAATATGAAATGTTATAATGTCTCAATTTGTTTCTTACTGTATTGCAGGTTAGCTTTGGCTTCCTTACTAGCCTCTTACATGTCATTAAGGAGATGTGGACAAATCCAGACAGCTATAGTACTCAATCTCTTCTTGAACTCCTAAAAAAGGTAAGATACCATAGGTTGATATT